GAGATGTTTTAATAAATGCTTTGGCATCACCAGCAATACAAAATACAATCCTTCTGAGGATTTTACTTACAATTTAGCCAAAAAGCATGTTCATTAAATTGCATTTTTCCTTGATTAATCAGCAAAAACAGATGATGTTGCTTAGCTCTGAGCTCTCATGTAGAACACATTGGCAATCAAAATGTGTTACACAGACTTTTAAAATAAACTGTTCTACTTTTGAGTGGATTTATTCCAGTGTCTGATTATCATGATGCAATAAATGCGGCTCTAAGTGCCCACTACTCGTGACTCATTTTTTTGGTATTGCAGATCCCATGTCTATTTTTGTTTCCCCTTCTGTTTCTCCTCTAGTTTCCATTATCACACACTGCAACATGAAAGCGGTGAACCCCTCGTGGTGGCGGTAAGCCTGATTTTCTCACTGTTCACTTCACAGGAATTTGCTTTCAGCCGGGTTCGATTCTTTAAGTTCAGCCACAGCTATCGCTGTGAGGGGGGTTAAGGCGAGGGTTAGATGAGGTGAAAAGAGAGGGGAGTGGGGGGTCAGTGTGAGGTTGCAGTAGTGCTATTTACAGTGGGATTAGAGGTTGACCCGTCTCCTCTGTTCTTCCCTCTGAAGCTCTGATGCTTTGGGGGACAGAACAACAGCACCCATGAGAAACTGGTGGGAATAAAAGAGGAGAAAGGACTTCTAATCTGTTACTAACTGGTAACAGCAAAGTTATTTTAAAACTAGTCATATATTTTTACTCTGCAAAGTTATTCTTTCTCACTTGATGGCTGTTGAGAAGGTGCCCGATTTGTCAAGCGCTGGAGTCAGTGAGGGGAAATCCTGTAGCATAGCAAACATAATGAATACAGTCATAGTTAAAGAAGCCCTATCTAAACTTGGTAAAGTGCTCTCAACCCACCTCCACCAAGGCCAGTGTGCTATTACTTTTAAAAGCATCTTAATCTAAATAGATTTGTTCAATGGAAGTAGCACAGGTTAACCTCTGGTTAATTTAGCTTGTTTAGCAATTGTTGCAGTATTAGGAGCACATTTATATCAATTTATGAAAGGCAGCCCTCTCGCAGTTGACTACCTTGAAGGACGTTTGCAGCTGATCTGCAGAATCAGGGAACTCTTAGTGTTTCCTGTCAAGTTAATTGATAAAAACAAGGAAAGCAGCACAAATATATCGTTGTTACGTGTTAATTTTCCAGCTGTTGTGCTGGTAAACACAAATGATCTATCCACCATAAATCCCACGTGTGGTCCAACTAGACCCCACAGTGGAGCTAGTCCTGGTTTTGCTGGTTAGTTTAACTTTTTGGGATAATTATATCATTTCTTTCTATTTTTGCCTATGCATGCACATCCCACAGTGGATTTTAAGTCATATTTTAAAATTTGTCTTAAACCAGTAAATAATTTTAGATTCAAAGGGTTTTACAGAGGTATTGCATTTTCTGTTTGGGAGTTCCACTCGAAATGACGTAACTGCAGAGCTGCTTGACAGGCAGCTTCAAGGCCACGCAGGGTCTGTTTTCTCAATATTTCATCACAAGCAGATAACAGATCTGGAGAAAGATGTGGA